AAAAAAAAAAAAAAAAAAAAAAAATCAAACAACAAAAACCAAAACGGTACCAGAGGTTGAACTCAGGGCTTCACACATGCTAAGCAAACTCTACATATTCCAGCCCTTTTAATTTACCTGAGACACAACCAAGGTGCCTAAGCTGGCCTCAAACTTGTGGTTTTCTTGCCTCGGCCTCCTGAGTAGCTGAGGTTACAAATGTGATTAGTGTTTAAGTCAGTAGACTTTGAGTAAAGGACATTAATCTCCCAAGAAGACATTCTGCCTTCAAACAGCATACAAAGGATTCAACATCAACTGGTCCTTGGGATTCCAACATGATCTGTAGATTTCAGACTTGCCAGTCCCATCATCACAGAAGCGAATGCCTTAAAATCATTCTGTACATGTATGGAGAAACAGATGTATACAGAGATAGAAATGTAAGTTGTTTCTATATAAAGATATTCATATCCATATACATCTCCTTTGGTCTGCTGCTTTGCAAGCTCTAATACCAAAGAGCTACTGTTACCCCTTGAGCCTCTTACATACCTTGTAGATCTATTTCCTCATCTGTAAAATGAAGAGAATAGCACTACATGCTTCATAAAGTTGTAGTAAGGATAGAAGAAGGGAAAACTCTAAGTGCTTAGACCAATGCACAGCATACAGTAAGCACTGGATAAATAGAGCTTTCATTCGCTTTTCAAGACATACCAAAGTGCCTATGATGAGCCACCGAAGTCTAGGCCCTTTCTTGCCTCATGGGAAGATGGAAGTGAAATTACACTGTACGTCGTACGAGGGAGAGAAATGAAGCCAGAAGCAAAGGGAGTACAAAGTAGGAATGGAGTTATTATTAGAAATGGTGTTGGAGGGAAGGCCTGAATGAGACCTAAAAGAGGTGAGAAAAAGAGCTGCACAGATGTTGAGAAGAAGACTAAGCCAGGCAGAGTACAAAGAAGTGCTAAATCCCAGAGGACAGGACGGAAGCTTGGCCAGCAAGATGGGGCTGTGGCTGAAGCAGAGTCAACTGGAGGAGGAAGCAGAGCTGGTCAGGAGTGTGCGGAAGAAGGCAGGTTGTCTCTAGAATTTTAAAGTTTTCTCTAGAATTAGAATGGAAGTCACTGGAGGGTTGTAAGGTGAGCGACATGATCTGCCTTACATTTTAGAAGGATCCCTCCGGCTACGCTGAAGAGAGGTAGGGAAGTCAGGGCAGGGCTGGGAGGTCCCTCAGGAGGTTACTTCAACAATAAAGAATGGAAACCTGAGATGTGGTGAGGGCAGGGAAAGATAAAAATATTATTATTAATCATCACTGTTGTGCTGTGATGTAGCTCAAGGAAGCCTGACAAATCAGACAGAACCAGGGCACAGGGCACTGGGGACCTGTGCGGGGCATTCGTGAGCCAGAGCTGCCCACAAGAGGGACTAATGCCCCACCCCGGCAGGCCTCTGCGGCCCTGTCGGCAAACAGCTCTGTGGTGGGCATGCTGCATACAAAACCCTGTAGATAGGGTGAGGGAGCTTGCCTTTGCAGACTGTAGACACTGACTCGGAGGGGCAGACGTCTAATGTGCCCCAGATGAATGAGCAAGCAAATTAAAGTAAACTCAAGAGGTGGCATTGCTCACATGGCAATTCACAGGGCTGAATGCAGAGCAGGGCGCCCAGGCACCATATGTTTAGACTGAGTCACTGGGGAAGAGCAGGCCTTCTCCCTGTCAGGGAGGAAGCTTCAGGAGTAAAGCTGGCCCAAGGTTAACTCACAAGTTTCACCTTTCCTTTTCATGAAACTTTATTTTACAAAGCTTCCTATGCCAGAGAAATACACAGAGAATAACCAGTACCCACATGCCTGTCATCCATATGACATTTTGATATATTTTCCTCACACTATTATTTTTAGAAATACAACATTTACACTTGAAGCATCATTTGTTGATTTTCATTTAAAATAGAAACTGCAAAATAAAAGCACACTAAAAGCTGGAATTGTCTAATTATTCTGAAAGAATGGAAGTGATAATACTTTGCCAGATTTTCTATTTAGCAGGATCAGTCTACCCCAGCTGTTCTCAAAGCAGGGATCCTAGGCTGACTGCCACACTTGCATCCCTGACTGGCGAGTTCATGAGCCAGAACCCTCAGGCCAGAGTCAGGACTCTGCCAGTGGGCCTAGCAACCGGTTTGAATATGCACTTTGGGGCAAGCTCAAGTTTCAGAACCACTCATCTACCCAGCAGGTAAGTGGGCATGGCTTAGTAGCCTGTGAGGTAATTGGACACCCTCATGTTTTCTAGGCAGAGGCCACTCTACTTCCAGGTTGTGGTGGTGGACACTAATGAGGGTGAGGAGGGCTCTGAAGCCAGACCTAACATTTCTCTTTAGGTCCTTCCTAGCCCAATGGCCCAGCATAAACTACCGGACCCTTCCGGGCTGCAGTATATGGGGCACTAATGGTTCCCACCTCCCAGGTTGTGGAGAGGACACTATGTCCTGAAGCAGGAAGCAGGCAGGACCAACTGGTGGCACCACACACTCACTGTGGGCTAGGAGCCGGGACAGGACCTCTTTCCTGACAGCTAGGCCAATAACCGGCCAGGCCCACTGCCAGATTTGGGAATCCCTGAGGAGTCCGCCATCTACAATCATCCAGAACATCCTTCTGAAGAGAAAAGATCAGCCAGGGCTTGTCTGGACTTCAGAAACCACCAGAACCACCTAGGAGAACAGAAACGTAAATGGGGAGGGAAAACCCACAGGCTCTGTCACCCTCTAGGGCCTGGAGCTGATTCCTGGCTCAGCAGGAAGCATTCTGCTTCACCCTTTTATGTTAAGAGCATCATTTTCAGAAAGGAAGAAAAAACAGGAGAGTTCAGTTCACAGATCTTACCCTGCTGGAAGCTCAGAGCATTGAACTGCTCTTAAGCGGAGGAATGCTGAATTTCAAGATAAGCACCACAGCCCCCGGGTCTTCCAACCTCCCTCTCTCCCAGGACACCAGCAGGGAACAGATAAGGCGAGGTTAATTACAATTCTGCTTCAAGCTCTTAATGTTCCACTGTGGAATATGATTATGATGATGGTGAAGGAGGGGAAGCCATTGGCCTTTCCTCAGCCTCCCACAGATGAGGCCTGGGCAGCCTCCCAAGGGCCTGCTGTCGGCTGGGCAAGACTAAGTCATCCATTAACTCTCTCAGCTTGGAGCACAGGATGAGCTCAGCTGTCATGGGGAATAAATCACTTCCTGCAGAATGTCTGAGTCCTGTTCTCAGTGTGGAGGCTGGAGGTGTTCTTTATAGGATTCAGGCTGAAGGTGAGGAAACCTCCAGCCCATCTGACCACACAGGTTTGTGTTTTGTTGGGGTTTTGTGAGGAACTAGGCTGTATGTGCGGATTTCTTTTGGTGACGCTCTGCTGGAGCTCCTGTCGAGCTGGCTTACTTTGTGTCCACCAACTGCTGGCACATCTTGCCACATATCCAGGGCACACGCAACTGGCCCACAACCTGGCCTGCTCTCTGTCTACCCAGTCTGCTGTGAGATGGGCTCTGAAACCCAGCTATCATATCAAATACCATCTCCTCTGTCCCTCTGCAACAAGTCCCATTATCAGCCTCAAGATGATTCGCATCCTGCTCATTAGCAAAAATACTCATCTAAGCCCCCCGACAGAAAGCTAGACGGGCATTTCCTTCTTTCTGCCTCAAGAATCACTGATGGCGTTTTCCTGCAGTTTGTAGCAGCATCTTACTGGTCCTAACGGAGATCTGACTTCCACCAGACACTGCTCATTTTCATAAGGGGAGGGCTAGAGGTGTGGCATCTGTTTTGTTGAGCGTGTGACACAGATTTGGAGGAGGCTCAACCCAGGGGGCAGGTGGCACTCATGCCACTCTCTGTGGCCGAATTCTTCCGGTCAACTGTCTCTATCTTGTACTGTTGTGCTGAGGGTAACCCCCCACACCCTTTTTGACAATGAAAGGCTTTCACAGCAAATGAAAACACTAAACAAATGCCACTGTTCTAAGGCTTGTGTGTCCTGCAATAGTCATCAGAATTCTCCAGGAGAAAGGTTGGTTAGGTGAGGGTAAATTACCCAACGAAACCTCACAAAATATGGGTATGAGAAAATGTGTAGTCAGAAAGTCCTCAGACACTGCCTAGGTCCAGAAAGCTCCTAGGAATTTAGCTCACAGTGGAAGTCAAAATAAGAAACAGAGATGTTCAGGAGACAAATTCTGTGTATGCAGCCATTTTTAAAGGTGTCACCACACTGTTATTGGAAACTAGGCATCTCTACGCAACAGTAACTCACTTCTGGTTTGGTCACTGATAACAAACCCAAGACAGACGCCATTAGACCTCAACCACAGATAGTCAAATAGAAAATACGTGCACTCTAATACCCCAGGTCAGTGAGGGTTTAGAGGGATACTGGCTATAGGAGAAGAATTCAATTATGTAGAGAGGGCCTTTTGACATTGGAAACAAATCGCTTTTGAGCCAGCTGATTCTACTTAGAATTGGTCCCACAGAAACTGCACAAGGACAGGTATTAAGGACAGTGGTCGGGCCGGAGATTTAGCTCAGTGGTTCCACTGCCTGCCTCATAAGCCCAAGGAGCTGAGTTCGATCCCTGGTACCAAAATAAAAAGAACAGTGACCACAGCAATGCTAGAGTAGTGGAAAGCTGGATAAAAACACTCAATGCGAGGAAACTTTAAATACATGATGGTATTGCCATCCGACACAAAACTATACAACTCCTGAGAAGAAGAATAATAAATATGAGCTAAGGGAGCATGGCTTAAGAGAATCCATATCACAGGATCCACAGGAGGTTAAAAGCTAGTAGTAGTCATGTTTTCATAGACAGGGTATTTTTAAAGACACCATGTTATGGACCTTGAGAATCTGGCTTCTAGACTCTTCTGCTCGGAATAGCAGCCCCTTTTGTTCTGCAGCCTTGCGACTCCTGTGGGGATTGCCTGGCTCTATCTGCTCTGCCATGGCCTCTAGGATCTGTGTGCAGGCTCTGCTCCCTGGGGACAGCAATCTGCTGCAGGAAGACAGCACAGCCACATGCAAGGGCCACAAGAGCTGAATGGGGAACCTGGCACAACTGGGCGCACCTGCCAGGTTTGCATAGCATGTTGTGGGCCTTCAGCCTGGGTGTGCAGCCCATAAGGAGAAGACCTACTGTAGCACACTCCTGTCCTTTGCGACCCAGATCTTAACAAAAACTGAACTTACCATCTGTGGCCCACACTCTTCCTATGTCCTATCTGATAAGGGTCCTAGCAGAAAATCTTCTTTGTGTATCATGCATTTTGTAATGCTGGGATTTTTGTTATTTTTGTCTGTCTATCTAGGTACTAGGAATTGAACCCAGAGCCTTTGCATTGAGCTACTTTCCCAGTCTTTTTAATTTTTGGAATTTGAGAGAGTTTTACTAAATCACAAAATTACCCAGCATCACAAGTTTCTTCTCCGAGTGTTGCGATTACTGGTACTCACTACTGCATCCAGGATGCTTCCTTTTACAATGAGCATATCATTCTTTTGAGATCAGGAAATTAGGTCTCATAGAGCCTAAAAAGTAAGTTGCCCGGACATTTGAGCAGGAAGGCTGAACACCAGGCTGTCACCCAGAAGAATGTGTCTCAGCTGGACGCAGGAGTGTAATAACACTAACAAGCATTAATCCCTGGGATTTTGATGGACTCTCCTGATTCCTGGATGGGAAAGCACGTTATCTTTTCCAGTAAAGACGGCTGTTGAAACAGCCAGATGTAGCCTGACTCTCATTTCCTGAAGCTTGCTGATGGCAGTGGCAGAGGCCTGTCCTAACTGGATGGCTACTTCAAGCCACTTACCTTTTCAATCAATGGACACAATTCTGCTGCCCTCAGTGGTAGCAGTCTTTCTGTTCCATGCAACCTGATCTTAATCTGGACTAGTTTAGAGGGTGAACCAGGCACTCTGGAGCTGTCACCCCTACTACAGAAGGTCAGGTGGGCAGAGTCTGGCTAGCTTCGAGTACAAAGAGGCTCATGACCTGTAGTGCCAGAAATGTCTCTGGAGGGCTGATACTCAGCATTCCTTTCTTAAGAACTTGAGTAACAGTAGATGGACACTCTGACGAGAATTCTATGCCAGGTGGCTACAGTGGGTAGAAAGGTGATTTACACAGAAAGCTCCTTTTCTTTTCTTTCTTTTTTTTTGCATAAACTTGATATGGGAGAATGTCCAAGCCAGAATGACAAGACTAATAAGCAAAATTACTGTGATTATTACAACTGTGAAAGGGAACTGGGGGTTGGGAACCATGTTAACCTGAAATAGTACGTGTCAGGTCCTATGAATGCAAAGGGCCACATGAATGCCACCTGCGGTTCTATACCCGTCAGAGCTGCTCTGCTATGGGGAGGAGGGTAAAATGAATTTTCAGAGAAATGAGTAGACTCAGAACTAACCTAAACATCTTTTGATGGAAAACCCATCTGAGACTGAAATTAGTTAAAGGACCATTCTTTAGTGAGATTATCACTGAATGTAGAGACTCAGTGTTCTGAAATTTATCTCAATTTGCAGAAGTGCATCACCAAAACTCTAATTTCTCTGAGAAAATAGTCTCATAATCAAGGTGCACTTGTATATTAACAACATATCTACGTCTCTAACAAATACTTAAATCCAGGATCTCCACTAATATGTGGGCAAAACTGTCCTCACTTCTGACCAACTCAAAAGGTGTTTCTGATTCAGATTAAAACAACAAAATTATCTTTTGGAGGCTGAGAGGCATGATCAAATGATCGTTGACACAAATCTTATAAGCTACTGAAAAAGCACACATTTCCTGTTGACCCAATTCTTACATTCACTAATTTAACAGGACAGTGTCACTGACAGCACGAGTACTCCATCTCTACCTATATGAATAGACTATTCACATCTGGCAAAGTCATTATAAGGAGCATCTGCTTTCTGTATTTAAAAAGAAGAATTTGGTTTTAAGAAAAAAAATAAATTGGAATCTGTGTTTCTTTGAATAAGACAACTGTTGCTGGTGACCAGAGGAAATGCCTCCCTTGTGTTTGTGGGAACCTGGCCCACTGTGGTACTGGGAATGTGCCCTCTTGTGGGACATGGAGGCATCAAACCATTCTTGGGGAACCAAGAAAAAAAAATCAGTAGTTCTTGCCTGGCTTTTGAGAACTCATCTGTCCTTATGTGGGTCTAGTCACCTGGTCAGCAAGTAAATTCTGTTTGGAGGGACAGGACAAATGGACCTTCCAGAGGGAAGGACAATGGTTTTGTTTGAAGTCCTGGGTTCCCCTCTTTAGTAGGCTTGTGGCCTCAGGCAAGTCCTTTACACGTCTCTGAGCCAAGGCTTTCTTACCTGTAAAAATGGAAAGTCATCTTTTTGTCTTTCATAATTTCAAAATCCCTTAAGAACCTGTAACAAAGGACCATCTAGACTGAGAACTGATATATAAAGGGAAGTCATTCATGTATTTAGGGCTTCGGATGGGAAAAAATGAGAAGATAACTAGAAGAGGCTTCATTTTGACCCCCTGATCGAATAGTTCCAACAAATTATGCCTAGCAAGGTCCTCACTGCTCTCCTTGTCATTTTTCCAGCACCCTCTTTAATTCTCTAGATTTACAGACTGAACTTGACCTCAGGTTCATGATTAAGTGCCTGGTAAGCACAGCTGTGAAAGTGGCATCACTCAACAAGGACAAAGAGATGAAAAGAGAGGCTCTTGCCTGAAAAGAGCTTATGAAGGACAGAGGCCTAAGAGGAGGGTGGGAATGGAGGACAGGTGTGCTGGGTCTGTGGAGCTCAGGGACCTATGCAGCAAGTAGCTCTCAGAAATCTAAATGCTTCCTAAAATCAAGAATTATAAAGAAACGGAGAACAGAACAATAGGGAGAAAGCACCACACAGAAAAAAAGTAGGTTTGTATTCCATCCCAACCTACCATTTTAGAGCATTCACCTTCTCCCTGGACTGCAGTTTCCACGCGGGCCAAATGAGAAGGCTGTGTTCTAGCTCTCTGCTGTTTCTGACTCCGTGGATGGAGCTGGCTACAAGCCTATAGCCAATTTTGCCTTATCTAAGCCACACCATCCCCAGCAGCTGCACCAGTGCAAAGCAAGCCTGGGGAGAAGACACAGACACAGGCGCCTCCCTCAGCAGAAGCTGGCAGTACCTGGTGTGGCTGTTGGAGGACAGGCTCTCCCAGGGCTGCACGCTGCAGCCGGCCACGGCGAAGGCTCCCCCACAGCTGCCATCCAATTTCATGAGCAGGGCCTTGGCAGCATTCTCGGCCGTCTTCCGGCAGTCATGGGCTCGCTTGAGCATCTGGGTGATGTTTTCATCCCCTGACTGGTCTCCTATGTTGCAAAGAAGCCAATGGATTAATCTGTACAGGCACAGGTAAGGTAAACCTGGGAGTGAACCTGCATATTTCCTCTCAATCACTCAGGGCACAGGTACTGCAGTGGGGAGAACCAGCGAGGAGACCATTGTGTCCAGAGCTCAACTGTGTCTCTCAGAGGCTGTCACTGGGAAGGCATTACTCTGCGGCTCTGTTGTGCTTACACGGAGATGAAGGGGTGTGATCTCCAATACCTGTTTCCAGCTCTCACATGCTGACTTTCTAGCTATCTGGGCTCTTGGCTTCTCCTACACTCAGGCCCAGGTCTGTGCACTGGCACTTGATGAATAAGGACAGGGAGAAACTGAGGTGCAAAGACCCTCTCTCCACATCAATTGTGGCTAGAGCTTTCCTAGGGGCAAAGGAGATAAAACTAATGGTTCAAATGAGAACTTTAGCTCTGTAATTTCTGTACCGGTGCAATCCCTAGCCCTTTCAACCTGGAAATGTTGGCCAACTCAGACGCTTCTGGAGAGGTGACTGGGCTATAGCAGGACACTGGGGCAGGGTGGGCGCCAGTAGAGAACCAGTCAGGGAAGCTCCTGCTCAAAATGTTCACATTCTTGTGTTTTAAAAGTGTTCTGAAAACAGCAAAACTATGGTGACACTAAAAAAGAACAGTGGTTGCCAAGGGTTGGGAAGGTTCAGAAGGGAAGAATGAATAGCTGGAGCACAGAAGATTTTAGGCCAGCAAAACTACTCTGTGTGATCCTGTAATGGTAAATACACATCATTACATATTTGTCAAAGCCCACAGGATGAACGCCACAAAGAGGAGGCCTGATGGGACCTACAGTCTTTGGGCGGTAATGGTGCGTCTATATAGGACCATCATTTTTGATAAATTATTACACCGGAGGCCTCAGTGATATGGGGGAGGCTGTGGATGTGCAGGGGCGAGAAGCAGACGGGGATCTCTGTACTTTCCCCTCTACTCTGTTGAAAACCCAAAACTGTTCTAAAAAACAAGTCTTAAAAAACGGAACCAAAACTGCGCTGGCCAAAACAGTCACCGGTTTGCCACCTGTACAGCTTAGTCTACGCTCTTCCAAATAGTTTCAAATGAAATAAAAAAATCCTACATGCGGAATCTTACAAAATGCTAACCGTGGAACTGGGTAAGATGGGAGGGTGGAAGTACACTCAGCTCCTCACCCACCGACTCCACTGCTGAGGCCCAAAGAAACCCTTCCAGTTTCCAACAGCTCAGTTTGAAAACCTACGTTGTCTAGAATGAACAAGGTGAATGTCTGCCGAGTCGACGAGAAACAAAGAAAACAACCACAATAATGGACACCGTGGACAACGTCATAAAGCAGTTCTGACGCAGAGTGACAGGTCAATGAGGGGCTGAGTCAGACGAGGGGAAGAGTGAGATCTAACGGGAGCCTGCCACAGACCTCAGGCAACCCTCAGTGCTGCGGAGAGTGGAGAAGTCCGGGGAGGGACATCCTGCAGGCTCCGCCTCCCTGGATTTCCCTTGGGCCATTTCTCTGACAACCTTCGTGCCTGTTTTGTTTCCACAAAGACATTTTACATACATCTCACCAACTGACTGCTATTTAAATTCTGCTCTGAAGCAGGCATGATGTTACTGGCTAGCTCGTCTCATAAATATGTACATGAGCTAGCCAGTATTCAGTAAATACAAACTTTTTCATTATTGATTTTTAAATGCATATTTATTTAAGCCCATTCGTCTCCCCCCAAGAAGAGGGTATGAGTAGGTAGAAGCCTAAAAAGGTCCCTTTGAGGATGGAGCAGGTAAAGACATTCCTCTGATACAAATTTGATATAGTTTTTTTTCCTTTAATTATCTATCTATCTATCTATCTATCTATCTATCTATCTATCTAACAGCAGGCCAAGATCAGTTAGGTTCTGTTTCACATAAGGAATAAAGTTTTATGGTTCAGTTAAAAACGAGGTTTCTAATGGAAATTTTGGCACAGTTTCCTCTCCTGGGCTGGGCTGGTAATGTTACTAGAGAGAAAAGGCAAGGTTGAAGACAGTCACCCATGCAAATGAAAGTCGGCCGCCTTGCTGGGTAACTTGGGTATAAAGCAGGAAATTAATGCCTGCCTTGTTTCCTTTCCTCCAGATTTGATTCAGATTCCAGTGCACATCATAACCAAAGGAGGGAAAATACATGAAAGTCAGGTATGAAAGCTGGACAGTGGCGGGGGTGGGGGGACTGAAAGGACAGGCGAGTCATTCGGGCAGGGCCTGGGTGGTGGCCTCCTCCGTAAGGTGTACCCTGGAAGCTTATGCCCTAATGGGAACACAGAGCACTCACAGCACAAAGCCATCCACGACAGGGGCGCTGATTACCACGGAAGGGTACAGCTGCTTTGCCCATTCCACTCGCCTGTGACTGAGGAGTGACCTTGCTTTCTCAGCTTTGTTGCCTCGCCACTGGTTCTCTAAAGATGCTGCTGATAAGGACAGGTGTGGCCATGTACTCAGGCGGCAGCCCCTCGCCAGGGTCTCCCTCCCCAGCAGTGTTCTTCCTGTCACCGAAGGCCTCTGAGCCACCATCAACGGCCGCTGTTCAGCAAATGCTGCTTAGCCCAAGAGGCCATACTGTTCCATTTTTCAATTAACTGCCCCTTCAAAGTACTCAAATTTGAGAGGAAGTAGGGGGAAGCAGTGTGGATCCTGAGGTACAAATTAGGCCAGCAGGAGACGTAAGCCCTGGGATGGGGACAGGGAAGGAGGCAGGGACACAGGAACATGATGGATCCCTTTGATGCACCACGGTCAGCATCAGAGGGTGAGCATTCTGTGATACTGGCAATAGCAGGTATGAAACAACTTCTGCATTCATTTAAACCGCAAGGCCAGAAGTAGGAACCCACACTTGAAAAAACTACTCAGGAAGAGACTAAGGGAGCACACACAGCAAATAAAAGCAACAAGACAAGAAAGGCCACAGGGGTGGCAAAAGGACTGGGAAAAGCAGTACTGCAGTGTGTCGGTCCCTTTCATCACTAGCGTGGACCTCCCACTCCATCTGGTTCTCCTGCCAGCCCAGGAGAATGTGAGTCCTAAGAAGGCTTGTTTGTTTTAACTTGTCTGTAATTCTGTTTCCACTTCAGTTACTGCTGCATTCAATATAAACAATGTACCTGCTCAGTCATGAGGAAAAACGAAAAACACACTTGACAAGCGAATTTCATGTTGCTGAGAGACGACTCTGCCAGCAGGGAGGGGGGTGGCAGACAGAAGAGACTGGGGGGTGAGGACTCGGGGGACACTCACCAGGGGAGGAGCCCACTCCAGCAGCACGGAACTGTCCCAGGATGAGGCTCTGCTCGCTCTCAGCCAGTGCCAGGAGGAGTTCGTAGGCCTCTATGCACTGCTCACTGAAACAGAAGCACACGGCATCCTCAGCTCTGGCAAGGAATGCTGAGCACCTTCCAAGCCAGCGCTATCTCCTGGGTGGCTCAGCCTCACCATCCTCACAAGGGAGGAGGCTACCAGACTATTCCCTGGCCAAGGCCAGTGGCTTTCTCTATACGTTGGCCTTTTAAAAAAACAAATTCTAGAATAATACAAGTGAAGCAGTAATGATGGAAGAGGCGGGCTGGCTGTCCTTGGGTGACCAGCTCAAGGGGCCATGTGACAAAGCTGTGGCAGCCCCCACTAATCCCCACTGACCCCCACATACAGGTATCTTTACCCTGGTGCCATTGTAGTGTTGGTCTGTGTGACGAACACTCAGCGGCAGAGTGGTATGTGACTCTCCAGTTTCAACTAGGAAAAACACCGGCTTCCACCTTGGACACTCTCTCACCCCTCTTCTCTCTCAGATTGTCCTCTCTGTAGCAGCCTCTGTGTCCTGAACACTGTCAAGCAGCCCCCTGGAAAGGCCCATGTGGTGAGGAACTCAGGCTTCCACCCAAGGCCGCGGAAGAAGGGCAGTCTGCACCCATGGCCACATGAGGGACCCTTCTTACAGGGAACAGCAGATCTTCCAGTCCCATTTTAGGTTGCAGAAGATGCAGCCTTGGCTGGTAGCCTGATCAAAGCTTTGTAACTAAGACAATCCCAGATTCTTGATCCTCAAAACCGTTGACACAATAATTTGTTATACAACAATCAATAACTAATGTAACATCCCTGAAAGAAACAACTTTGACCTAGCACAAAGAACAGTTCCATTATCACAGAGAAACTTCTTTTAGGTACTTGTAAAATGCCTCATGAAACACTCTCAGGACTTCACAGGATCTCTTATGTATAAGAGTTTGTGTTTGGATTTCTAATAAAAGAAGAAACAGACAAGTCACTCTGTCTCATCATTAGGCCAAGAAGGTAGGTCGAAGACCAGCTGCTTTCCCATAGCCTGACACCCACATCGCAGATGTGTAGACAGAGCTGGAGCAAGTGCGTGGCACTGGTGTGGTCTGGATGAGAGGCCTGCACTGGCAAGGTGTCTGCCTGATCACCTCCTGGAAGGCGAGCATGAGAAATGTTGCCCCAGCCAACACTGATTTGAGAGGACACCTGCTTTTGATTATCTTTACATTCATCATCCTGCAGTACGAGTTAAGGGAAGGGCCAGATCACTAACTTGAGATGTTGGCAGCAATTCCTTGCAGGCTCAGACTGTATTTCAGGCTAGAGGTGTTAAGACAACTCGAGAGAATGTGCTAATGTGGACGAAGCCCTTTCTGACCAAAGGCAGGTTGGGGGCGGAGATGGCTGTGTTAAGACTCGTGCTAAGGAGGATTTTCTGCTTGTTTTTATGCTTCTGTGAACTTGCATGACTGCTCTCAGCTTTGGTCTCATATTAGTTTGATTTTGTTATTTTGAAAAAACAATATTCTTAAAACAATCGAACTTTTTAGAAGATGTTAGGAGTAGGATACAGTCAACTACTTGGAGACCTTGGCAACTATGCCTAAGCAGTGACACTAATTAAAAAAACCTAACAAATATACTATAAATAGTTTTGTAGCTTTAAACAACCATTAATTTAAAAACTGATAAATTCCAAATCTGATGAAGCAGAGAGGGCAGAATGATGAAGCAGAACACAGGGCCTCTTGCTCACCAGTGAATGAACCATAGTGATTCAAACTGGCTTGCTCTTATGGAAAACAATCAGCAGTACATCTGAAAAGCCATGAAGATATTTGTATCATTTGACCTATGATTCTTGCTTCACAGAGTTTACACTAAGGAAAATATTCAAAAGAATGAAGATTTTATCTTTATTAAATTATTCACCATTTAATTTCAGTATTAAAAATCTGAAGCGTCGAAACGTCTTTTTAAAGATAGGACTGAGAAAATGAAATATGTAAACAATGCGGGGGACACAACCATTCAAAATAAATTGGAAAAACCATGACATTTAAAAACAGTAACATTTAATAAAGTATGACAATGCTGAAGAAATAGGAGCTGGGTTTAGTGGCACATCCCTATGATCCCAGCACCCTGGGAGGCTCAGGGGGAAGGGAGACAACTTCAAGCAAAGCTTCAGCAAGATACTGTTTCAAAAAAACAAAACAAAAACAAACAACAGAAAAGAAAAGGAGTCCACTGGATTTACAATAATGTACAGTATATATGAATAAAGACCAGAAAGAACTAATAAATATATCATGCAAAAACTGGTATTTTTGAGTGATATTGCTAAAATAAAATAGGTGGAATACAATAGAAGGTAGAAATACACACAAAATATGGAAGAGGAGCATAGTAATACTATATCCATTATCCCTAATCTCTTAATTGCCCAGGACGCTAATTGACTTTCAATATACAGCTCACTAGCAGTTGCTAGTCTGACCCCCTATTTAATATCGAGAGCTTGGTTTCTACTTCTATGCAGAAGACACTATGGATGCATTTCTAAATATAAGCAGCATGAAGACACGGCTGCTTGTCCTTCCCACTCCGGTTCCACACCTGTACTGCAAGGCCAGCCTCAGCGCGGTGGCGTTGGACTCATACTTCCCCACGAGCATGCTCATCCTCTCTGCGTTGCTTTTGCATTCCTCCAGGGTTATGGTCAGGAGGTCATTTTGGGATTTCAGGTGTTCAATACGGCTACAAAAAAAGAAAAATCGCTTTCAGTTAGTATTGTAATTAATGTGCCAATATTTTACTTGTCTCATTTCTAGGCCAGTCAGAAACGCACAACACCATGTGGGTTTGTCACAGGTCTTAGCAAATGTAAGTGACAAAAAAATCATCAAGGAAACAATTCTAAATAAAACAATCATTAAAATCTGTGTGAGCTGGGCCAGGGATTTAGCTCCGTGGTTCCACCGGCTGCTTCACAAGCGCAAGGACCCGAGTGCGATCCCTGGTACAAAAACGAAAGTAAAATGAAAATAAAAAGTACGCCTCTGGTTGTTTTCCGCTCTGCTGTGCTCCATGTTTCATGTACCAGGTACCCTGTGAGGTTGAGGACAAACCGAGACAGTAACAGCTGTGTGACCTCAAGATTCTCGAAAGAGTAATGCCTGGTCTACTCCTACCAGTCACGCCGCGTGGCTGCAGGGTGTTGCTTGCTGAGGCTTTGCTCAGTCATCCTACTGGTAGCCTGCTGAATTAAGTATTATTATTTGCACTTCCCAGAAGAGGAGGCAGGAACACAGGACAGTTAAATCCTTGCCTAGGGACTTGACTCAGGCAACCTGGCCCCAAGCCTGTGCTCTTACCCATCCACTGCCGAATGCAAACAAAAGATGAATCAGTGAGGGGATAAGAAATCACTGTAAAGAGTCCTGGAAATGGACCAGGGCCTTTAGTTGCTGTCACAGCTCCAACCAGGTCAGACAGTCCAACAATTCTACTGGTGGGTCAGTGAGAACTTTTAAATTTATCAAATTCAGAAGCACACATACTTAGGACAAATACTTTTTTTAAAAAAGTGGGAAAACAGATCAAAAATGAAAATCAAAACAAATCTTCAGCTTCTCCATTTTCTGTCCGAATAAATACACCCTTGTGTATTGTCTGAGCACCAAGTCTCACAGAGACCTGGAGTTTCACATCCACAAAATGCAGTGCTAAGGGGTATGGAAGCGATCTTCCTTGAGAATGAATCTAAGAATCATGCATCTTGGTGTAGAATACAGGGCCTCTCGTGCACATGCGCAATGTGTGCTGGGCATGTAACTAAGACCACTATCTAGCTGGCTCTGAGGACTCCAAGGCCCATTCAAGGTAAGGTGTTATTAAGAAGAAGCTTTCTACCCCTGTTTATATTAAGACTTCTTGAAACCATCCTCACTCTCATTTATGATTCCAGGGCACATTCAATCCCCACTAATTAGATGAAACCATTTACTCAGCTCATAGGGCTCCATGCGGCCAAGACCAAAATGCTTTCTTAGAATGCTTTCCTCTCTTAGGTCGGGGCCCTTGCTAGTGTTTGTCTTGACTCATGGCAAGGTCTTCTCCATCTCCCTATTCTCTATAAAAGCTGTGAGGGCTGGCTTTCCCCAGGGTTCAGCTGGGAGACGCTGATCTCACTCTAGGGGTGGTTTTATCCAGTCCCTGACTCTGACCTTTATTTCTGTTCCCATGGCTCCCAAGCTTCTCCAGCCCAGGCCTCCCTCTGAGTGCCAGTCCCACAGCCACAGCTGCCTACTGATATTTCCATCTGGCCATCACATGCCAAGTTCCCATTTAACATTCTGGGAGGAAACTGTTGATTTTCCCCAAACTTTCTTTATCTTTCCCCATCTTAGTGACAGGGATCCCTCCAACAGTAAAAGCTGCACACCTGAGCATCTGCGAGATCACCCTTTCTCTGACATCCACATCTAATCCGCTGGGGCTACCACTGATTTTGTGGCCACACGTATCCTGACCTAGGCCCGCCATACCACCCATATTCTGTGTCACCATCTCTCTGCCTCTACTCTATCCCACTCTTTCCGTTCTTCACCCGAGTGATCTTTCAGAATGCAAATGAGACTTTGTTCTGCCCCTGTTTAAAATCCCCTAACAACTTCCAAGCACACTTAGAATAAAGAATAGAATTTGTCCGTGGCCTCAAAATCCCTGTCCCAGAGAACCAGGCCCTGCCCACAGGGCCTTATCCATGGAACCCTCCCTTAGGTCTACTGGTTTTGGACAGTTCCTGCTTCACACCTACTTTTTTCTGGCCTTGAGTTTGGTGAATTGGTCTACAGACTCTCCTTGGTCTGTCACATGGCTATTCCCTTTTTTTTTTTTCTTTTTGGTCTCTACATCTTCCCTTTTCAAAAATACTTTCTCTGGCCACCTATCAAAAATCAACCTCAGGGGACTGGGGATTTAGCTTAGTGGTTCCACTGCCTGCCTTGCAAGCACAAGGTCCCGAATTTGATACCCAGTACCCCCCCAAATCAACCCTCAGGCTGTGGGTACAGCTCAGTGGAAGAGTGCTTACACAGCATGGACAAGGCCCTGGATTCCATTCCCAGCACCACATACGAAAAAAAAAAAAAAAAGGAATCCTCCCTGTTATTCTGTCAGAGCTCTACTTATGCTCTTCTTGAAGCTTTCTTTTTTTATTTGAATATTTTTGTCTATCTTTCCTAGCAGAATATAAGCTCCATGGTACCAGGGGCCTTGTCTGCTTTCCTGTGCTTTGCATATCGAATAGGGGAGAACACAGCAGGTGCATAACACAGGTGTGCTACATGAGGAAGTGCACTGTGGGCAGGTACGACTTCTCTCCCTGCCCTCAGAAGTCACAAAGTTTCAGGCTAGCATTTTTGCAGAGTAATACGCCTTCCACATTGAGAAACTTCAGTAACAGACAGCAGGACATACTAGTAGATTATTTCTAATCAAGGATTCCCTAGGTCCCCCTATAGCTACAATCACAGAATAAATAGTAGGGGTGAGGTCAAAGGGCAGGAGTTGGAATTCTGCCTCAGTTACTTAATAGCTCTAGACTTGAGGAAGGTCACTCTACTTTCAATTTCAAAGCCTTTTTTTTCTCATTTGCAAAATGACACTGTACCACTTTTACCCTCATAAGCTGAAGATAAGCAGTTGTCTGTGAGAGCCCATTGTAAACTGCTAAAAAACATAGTAATATGAGCTACAAATACCAAATATCTCTCTCATCTCTCAATTCTCTGCATCACACATAATTCAGGAGCCTCCACCAAGTACAGCCACAAAGCACAGTTATTTAAAGTACCACAGTCAGGAGAGAGCAGATCCTTACTAAACTGAGAGCCCCCTGAAAGCATGCAACTTCATTAAATAGCAAAGGGTATGTCTGATTCAATTTTTAAGCACTTGCAGGCCAGTGATACTGAGAAGGCTGCCTCTGCTTTACTGCTACTTGGTAATCTTCAAGATTGCCACTATGAGTATTTAGGATTTAATAAGGAAACCATTTAATTTCAAGATTGTAAATGACCTAGATTGCCACATTTCCTTAATTCTCAAAAACTGTATTACACAGCTTCAAATCAGGAAGGACTAACATGATAATTTAATTTATTGAGTTTTGCCACAGACAAGAGGAATGAAGTTAAGTATCGGTGGATGGGAATGGTATCTGCATTTCTTCCTGGTTAGCTCATAAGCTTTCCAATTCTTACTCTGCTCTCCCGGGAAAGACTGGTGGGTCAAAGTAGCCACACCATACTTGGCTGTGGCCCAGCAATCCACTCTGCGACCACGGAACCATGTCTGAGTCAGGGTGGTGAGCACGGTTTGGCCACGGTCCTTTTCCTTTGCTTTTTTAGCAACTCTCATATAACTAGAATGATATATGAACCAGGTTCTGCCAAGAGGCAGAAGTGGAAACTCAAACTGTCTCTGTCATTGGAGCTGGGAAGAATCCACAATACTATAGGTAAATTTATTCCCGGTAGGACAATTCGAATATGTTGAAATTCAGGATTGAGAACACTGGCAGAAGCATAAATAAGAATTAGGGAATTAGCAGAAAGAATAGGGAGAGTTAGAGCAGCAGCCTGGCCAACACCAGAGGCGTCTCCAGCAGAATGCATCTGCTGCTTCCTGGTAGGTCCAGGCGCCCCTGGGACGCTGACTCAACATTCCAGGACTTCTCTCGACGTCTCTGCAGCATGGGCCTGCACGCCGGGCAGCCATCTGTGTGCGACCTACTTGCCATTCTCTGTGTACTACTCCCAGGACTTGCTGCATGATGTGCAAGGTCCAGAGTAAAATGAAAATGTGGTACCCCTGGTTCGTGAATTACTAACAGGCCCGGGGATTTATTTAGCTCAGTGGTTCCGCTGCCTGCCTCATTAGCATGCAAAGTCCGAGTTCAATCCCCTGAATAAAAAATACAAAACAAAACCATAAACTACTAAGAATGTAAAACAGCAACAGCAGAGCAGTCAAACAAGTGTGGAGTCTTTCTAAGCACCAGGCTCTGTGTGGAGGCCACACACCCATGAAACCACTGTGACTGCTGCAAGAAGCCCTCCTGAGCCCACGTGGTGAGAGTCCCTCACCCTCACCGACAGCTTGCCAGCCTCGCTCCAGTCCCAGCCCATAAAGAATCTTCAGAAAGGGAGGGGAGGAGCAGCTCCTACCCCCAACACAAATGTGGAGAAGTGCTCCCTACCTGTTCAACCGTTCCGTTTCCACCTCAAACTCCCTAATTTTGCTTTCCGAGATGGCAGATCCATGTGAGTAGAGCGTCTGGAAAATCTCTTGGATATTGGAGCAGTCCTGAAGGGAGTGGGCCAGGTGTTCTGCCACGCTGCTGGACACCTGCACAAATAAGCATTCATTCCTAAGGAGTGTCGATTCAGGGATGCAGGCTCCCAGGTACAGTCTGCATGCAGAACAATTTAAAGCCAAGATTCCTTGAGAATCTGGCACTAGGACAAGGTTACTCTCTGATGGTTCTTGGTTTCTGTGTTATAATTCTACCATAGGAAGCTACCTACTATCAAAGTAGTACATAAAACATGATCAAAATACAGCTGCATCCCTCAGGCACATGCTGCTGGACCTGACCTTCTTTCCCCAAGTGGAGCTCCTTGCTGTTCCACACCATAGTATCCACACCAATCAGCCAAAGAGAGAGAGAGAGAGACTGATTCTGAATGTATGCGATTTTTGCTCAGTGCAAAATTTTACCTGAGGGCCTTAAAAGTGTTCTTCAGGCTCTCTCACTTGCAATGATCAAATAGCCAGCTATTCCAGCCTCTCACACCACCTTCAAGATATCCCTTAGGGAAGTGTCACAATCCATCAGTTCTTCTCCCCTAGGGCAGGCTCTACAAACAAAAACTGGTAGCAAACTGGCAGGTCCTGGTCTTTCCTAGCATTGGACTACATTTCAGAGACAGCATTCACGCTCAGCAGACAGCAGGGCTCTTTCAAAAGGGAGGTGCAAAAGGCACAGTTCTTTTAGAGCGTCAAGACTCCCTTGGTCCCCAGGAGGGACAGACAATATAAAACCGATAACCTTCAAGCCTTTCATTAACATCACTAGGAACTAGACCGAAACCCTTTCTTTTTGAATGGTTGCAAGCAGGGTGAAGAAAAAAAATCCTTCTTTAAAGCTCAAAAAGTAATTCACCAAGTGGAAATGACCATATATTTTACTTTGACCCTGGGAAAAGAAACTAGATATGATTTATTATAATAATTACCCGGCTTATTGATAGTGAACTTTAAAGTCATTTCATCATCTAGGAGCAACTTTCTGTGAAGGTCCGTTGGGTACCTTATTCCCCTGCCTCTCAGCAACACTTACCCCGATGCTACTGATTTCTGAGCCCAGGACTGGCCGATCAGACGATGAGGATTCTGACCTTGTCTTTGATAGCTTCACCCTCTCGGCAATCTTGAAAAACAAAACAATGATCAAAAAAGTACACACACCCTTCAGGTGAACTACTGAGGTCTTAAACTAAACTCATTCATTACTATCTTTAAAACAACTTACTTGTCCAATTCTTCTTGGGTTTTTTTGGGGGTGGTACCGGGGATTAAACTCAGGACCTTGCACTTCCGAAGCAGATGGCGGAGCTATTAAGCTAAGTCCCTGGCCTCCTTGTCCAATTTTTCTAACATCAGCCTAAACCCATGGCTTCTCAACCTCAGCAGCACTGACATTTTGGGCTGGACTTTTCTCTACTGTGGGGTATTTAGTAGAACCTCTGGCCTCCAGATACAAGATGCCTTATCATTCCAGTTCTTAGCAGCCCCAAGTTCTCCCGAGAGACAAACTCACTTGTGGGTGAGAAACAATAGTTTCAGCTAAACTTACCAAATTTGATAGCTGAGAACCAAATGTAATGTGGAGACTACTAAGGGTGCCTGGAGAGAGATCATTCATCACTTGAACAGTCTCTCTGTGGTAGAGGGTGCTGGGTCTGCTCTCCAACTGCTACAGCCTGCCCTCATGATCTTTATTGTTTTGCTGGTGGAGCTGTGGGTCCTGTGAGTGGGGAGATCATTGGCTCATTACTGGAGTCTCTGCTGAGCTGAACCGTAGTCCTTGAGAGCAGCTATCCGTCTACTGTAAAGTGCCGTAGCACTTAACATAACATCTCACTCTCCACTGTGACCTGTCAGCTGTGACATTCTCCAGCCAGCTGATTAATGAAAGCTGGTGTCCAGGTTGCAGCCAGGAGAGACTGAAAACATTAGCGGGTTATCTCTCCCTGCAGCTCAACGTGGGAGGCCTGTGCAGTCCCAAGGGAAGCCCTGTAAGCTGTGGAATTGGGAACATAGCTACGCAGTGGTGCGCTCCGCAGCAGCTGGTGCCTTTAGAGAACAGGAGGTATTCCCGCCCCTCCGTCCTATCCCCAGGAGCTCACCTTGGCAATAGGAATGTCATTGCTGCTGCTGCTGGTGCTCAGCTCTCCGGTGCTGGGGTTAACAGGGCGGTTGGCAGGAGTCAGGCGGCTAGGGCTAGAGGGACCTGTGGCCTGCACACTCTGCAGTCGAGTTTGAAGCTCTCGAACCTGAAACCACAAGGCAGTAAGGCAGGTTTGGTTATTTCCCTGGCCAAAGAGCAAAAGCCAGATGTGAAGATGGTAAGGCTTTCCTTTCCATGAAGGGCTCGGCCTCAATGGAAGGCTACACTGGTTAAGTCCACAAAGTCACTGATCCTTAATGGGACCAGCTACTCGTCCTTCACAAACACAAGGGCAATGTGTTTTCTAAGGAGCTGCAAGTCTCTGCCAGAGAGGGATGTTTAGTCCTTTCAGAAATGTTTATTCTCAAAGCCTCAAGAACATGATGCTATGTTGGGTACTGCTGGGACCCAGAATGGACTCTCCATCATCCTGGAACGCAGAGCCGGGAGGAGAAAGACAATTTCAATACAACGACACTCGAGTGCTACAGGCAGTAGAAAAGGGGAAGAGCACAGCTCCACCTGAAGTCACCCGAAGAGAGCAGCGCCCGTCAGCAGGGTCTTACAGGTGACAGAGCAAGGGGCAGGCTTTGGCAGTGTCTAGATGACAAGCAGGAGTGGGAGAGCTGCAACCCACTTGTTTAGAAGTGGGTCAAAAAGAGCTGTCTGGGAGGGAGGTCAGTCTAAGATGAGATGGCAGTGAAGGCACAAGGAGATTTCCCCATAAGATTCAGGATGGGATCGCCGGGGGACGCATAAGGAATATCTGAACAGCCCTACTGTGTGAACAAGTACTAAAGGGTCTCTGAATTATATTTAAGATACAGATTCATCTGTGAAGAATTTAAATGTGCAAATCCTGCTTCTCTATGGTGAAAGCTCTGTGACTTTTCCAAATAAGTGGAGCAAGTTCCTAGAAGTCGGTCTTTTTGATAATCCTGATGACAGTTTTAGGATCAGGATACAGAGGCTATCTTAAAGGGCAACTGATTACAGAACTGAGAAGCTCTTATGAAGGAATGGGTAGTGGACTCCTCTGTGAAGACACACCATGAGGACACGTGATGAAGGACCTCCCAAGCTTCATGGTATAACAGAGGCCCCTAACACAGTCCTGTAGAAAGCTTGTAAAAACAGACCCCAGGCTCTACCCTCAGCGACTCAGTCTGGATGAAGCCAAGAACGTGCATATCTAATGAGCCCCCCAAAGGTGCCGATGCTGTCATTCAGGGGATGGCACCTTGGGCAGCACTAACTGACCTAGGGACTCTGAAGGGCATGAGACACTTAAGTCTCACAGACTGGCAGAGCGCAGCTATGCCCCAGCCAACCCTGCCGCCAAAACCCTTCCAGTCCAGGGCACAGACCAGGCACAGCCCCCTTCTCTAGAAGCCACCGGAAAGCTTTTCATATTAAATGTCTGGGACGTCTGCACCCTGCTAACTTGGGAAGCAAAAGTAATTGAAATTTCAATAATTCACCAGCATACGCAAAGCCAAAATAGCCAAATTTCCCTGGAGCACAATGCATTAAATAGTGACGCAGCTCAGAAGCAGCTGATGCGCTGCTGCAGTTTCCAGGAACTGTGTGTGGATACAAGTGTCTCTGTCCTCACAACACACCGGACAGGGCCTGCCTGGAAACCGTCTCCAGACTACAAAAATACACACCTGCCTCAGCAAGAGGAGGGGCTTATGCTGGACCAGAACAGTGCCAGTGTGGGTGCTTCCTACGCCATGTGGCGGAGGTGCCTGTTCCTAAAGACCCAATCAGTTAAGAGTGTCTCTTATTCTAATAAGAAAATCAAAACTGAGAAAACATACAGGACACTGAACATTAAAACAAAACAGTGCCCCTGATCTTCTTTAACTGTATGGGGCCAATCACTTGTAGTCATTTTCTATGATGTATGTGTGTGCACACCCATGCCAAAAATAACTTCTAAATCCAAATTTTCATTTTAAAGGCTTCAATCCTGGAAAGGATAACAAAATATGTTCAATTTGCTGTGTGCTTTATTATTTCATGATAATTATTAGCCAGTGGGGTGGGATCCAGCTCACATTTATACTGAGTCTGTCATGGAGAGACAGACAGCTGGATGGGTTAAATGGCCTTCTCTCCCACCCTGATTTTGAGAAAGAGTGTAGTACTGATGTAAGAAACAGAATTTTAAAATCCCAGTACATCCATAAAGGGAGAAGACTAATCTTTTCTGAAGAAGGGGGCCAAGTGTAGAGTCTGATGTGGAAGATCCCACAAAGGACAAGGTGAGAAGCAGGGCTGAAAACTCGTTTTCAGAGGTTATCCTTCTGAAACTGGGCACACAACTGTGGATTTCCAGCATGTGATAGCCTCAGCTAACGTAGTAGGCACGACTCCTATTACAAACGCAGAGAAATGCTGCATAAAAGTGGCAACATTTGAGGGAAATTCATTGCCAAGGTTAAAAGAAAGCAAAAATCTCCAGGTATAAAGCCTTTAGCCTTCCAGCCCTACTCACCTGTGCCAAGTGGACAAGAAGGGCCGACCCCAAAGTCTACAGGAACCCGGGGACTATGCAGTGGGGACAAGTGTAAAAATCCAAACTCCAGATTTGTGATACATCTGAGCGTAGAGTCTAAATTTATACCATCTGTATATTATGGGACCTCAAAATTGTACATTGATACTTGACACTTGTCTGCATTTTGCAGCCTCTTACTGCCTCAAAACCTGATTTTTTTTTTAATCACCCACTATTATTAAGAAACAGGAGATACAGGCTTCTAAGGCTAGGGGCTCATGACCTTGAAGCCATCAGACACAAGGAGACATGCAGAGGGAGGAGGATAAACTAGAGTGACAGCCACTAAATGGAATGAACTCACCCCAGAAGATACAAAAGCAAACCTCATACTATATCACAACAGGCAAGTTCAGGATACTTAAAAAATGAGAATGCAACAGAACAGACAAGTATCAAAGCATCTAGCAGAAGAGTACAGCACCTCAGGCTCTGGGTTCAGAGATGCTGGTCTGTTCACTGCTGGTACCTTCAACAGTGACTGACAGTTGCTCTCCAGAAAATCAGTTGGATGTCACTAAAAAAAAAAAAAAAAAAAAAAAAAAA